TGGCTCAATCCGTGCCAGGTGCAGGGTCTGCTGGCTGGGTGCTGGCAGGCTTTCACCCGGCACGGGCACCGTAGCCAGCCCCTGCTCCTTTAAGGGGTCTGGGTCCAGGAGGGGGGCAGATGAGTTTCTCTGGTGTTGGCCAGAGTGGCCACCAGGGAAAGCTGGGGAGGGCTAGCCTGCCACTAGTTCAAATTAAGGGGCTACACACCCCTTAATTCAAACTAGCTAGTTCGAACTAGGCTCAATCCTCGTAAAATGAGGATTTCCTAGTTCAAATTAAGCGCTCCGCTAGTTCGAATTAAATTCGAACTAGCGGAGCGCTAGTGTAGCGCCTATTAAAGTTAGTTCGAAGTAACGTCCTTTAGTTCGAACTAACTTTGTAGTGTAGACATACCCTGGTTGTTTAGCAGCCTTCCTGCTTCTGAGGAACTCAAACATTTTGCTATTATTTTTTGATTTTTTGGCTAGTTATTCTTCAAACTCCTTTTTGGCTTTTCTTATTATATTTTTACATTTAATTTGATGGAGTTTATGTTCCTTTCTATTTCCCTCACAAGGATTTGAGTTCCATTGTTTAAACGATGCCCTTTTGCCTCTCTCTGCATCTTTTACCTGCTTGCTAAGCCACAGTGGCACTCTTTTGGTTCTCTTACTGTGTGTTTTAAATTTGGGGCATACATTTAAGTTGGGCCTCTCTTATGATTGTAGTGGGTTTATGGGTGTGAGCCACTCCCCCTGTGCCCCAGCGGGGGACGGTAGGGGCCCTGCGGACACACTGCCTTAAGTTTGATTGGGGGAATCCCTGTCCAGGGTCTATGGTCGGTGGGATCGATGGGTGCGATCACCCCCCTGCTTTAGCCAGCAGAGGGGGCTCAGCTGACGCTCCACCGCGTTGCCCGCCTTCCGCAGGACCGGGAGGGGGGGCCCTTTTGGGCTCGACAACGAGCCATGGTGTCCTTGCGCCCCGTTCCCGTCCCTAGAACGGGTGTTTCAGCATCCGAGGGAGTGGGGAGCGACCCCTGTCCTCACCCGGCCCTCGTCGCCATGGGTCTCAGAGAGGGTATGTCTACACTACCCCACTAGTTCGAAGTAGCGGGGTAATGTATGCATACTGAACTTGCTAATGAAGCCCGGGATTTGAATTTCCCGGGCTTCATTAGCATAAAGCCGGCG